CTCCTCTTGCTGAAGGAGAAATGTTAGTTAGTTATTATTATTATTGATGAATTGAGACTGGAATGGCTATCAAACCAATAAGGTAAAGATTTAACTTAAAGACAGAATGTATTACGCCAAACTTTCCTGATTATTTGCACTCATAATCCCTCCCCTCCGGACCCTCATCATGGAAAAGTCCCTAGATTATGCCTCATAGATCGTCTCTAAATCACATGTACTCTAGTTGATGAAAGACTACACTCCCACCTCTTCCCTCCCCTTCCGCTCTCTTACCTACCCCTTCATCCCTACCCCCACCTACCTACCCCCCTTACCTACCTACCCCACACACACTAACGTTAGGTCAAACCGATGTTACTTGGAGGGTTTTTTGTGTGTATTATTTACCATAGACTAATTGGAGATTTTATACCTGTTCTGGTTACCTGGTTTATCTTTGTCCAGGTAAGCATGTCGTCTTACCTGGTCGTCTCCTTAATGATTGTCATGTTAAGAGTTACACGTGGAGATAGTATTGATTCTTTATCCTCCCTCTTGGTCTCTATCCTTCTCTCTCCTCTCTCTCTTTCTCTTTCCTTCTCTTTCTGCTATCAGTCTTTGTTTCTCCCTTTATCCCTGTCTCCTTCTATCTTCTCTCCCTTCTTTCTCTCCCTCTCCTTTTGTTTCTCCCTATATCGCTCTCTCCCTCTCCCTCCGTCGTCTCTCTCTCTCTCTCTCTCTCCTTTTATCCTTCTCTCTTTCCCCTTCTTCTATCTCCTGTCTTCCTCTATCCCTTGTTTCTTCTCTCCCTCCTCCTTCCCCACTTCTTCTATCTCTCCCTAGTTCCTGTCTCTCACCCTCCCTCCTCAAGGCTAACCTGACCTACGCCCTCTGGTCAAACATTATTAAATTAAAGTCACCTCTTATCGTCCACTACCACTACTACCACCATTACTATCATCACTACCACTACTACCACCATTACTATCATCACTACCACTACTACCACCATTATTATAGCTACCACCACTCCTACTACCACCATACTATCATCACTACCACTACAACCACCATTACTATCATCACTACCACTACTACCACCATTATTATACCACCACTCCACTACTACCACCATTACTATCATCACTACCACTACTACCACCATTATTATAGCTACCACCACTACCACTACTACCACCATTACTATCATCACTACCACTACTACCACCATTATTATAGCTACCACCACTCCCACTACACCACCATTACTATCATCACTACCACTACAACCACCATTACTATCATCACTACCACTACTACCACCATTATTATAGCTACCACTACCACTACTACCACCATTACTATCATCACTACCACTACAACCACCATTACTATCATCACTACCACTACTACCACCATTACTATCATCACTACCACTACTACCACCATTATTATAGCTACCACCACTACCACTACTACCACCATTATTATAACTACCACCACTACCACTACCATTATTATAACTACCACCACTACTATACAACCACCATTATTATAACTACCACCACTACCACTACTACCACCATTATTATAACTACCACCACTACCACTACCACCATTATTATAACTACCACCACTACCACTACTACCACCATTATTATAGCTACCACCACTACCACTATAATACCAACGCCATTGACACTACCATTACCGTTACCACCATTACCGTTACCACCATTACCGTTACCACCATTACCATCGCCACAACTGCCACCACTACCACTGACGTTACCACTGCCACCACCACAACCACTGTCAACACTGCTAAAGTTAACGTCATGAGATTATTTTCTACTACTACTACTACTACTACTACTACTACTAGTGTGGTGGTAGTGGTATTAGTCCGTTATTAAATTAAGTTTTTGGGTAAACACCGAAATTGGTTGATTAATTAAATATGGCGCGGGAGGAGAAGGAGAGGAAGAAGAAGAAGAAGAAGAAGAAGAAGAAGAAAGCGTAATTAGAAGCAATACCTAATAATATAAAGATGAAATAAGGAAAAAGTAAAGAGACGGAAATACAAACAGGAAAGATGGGGGGAAACAGACAGACAGACAGAGCAAAATTCCAGGTGTGTGTGGCTCATTAGGTGAGAATCCTACCTGTACGTTGACTTAAGACATTCCTTATTAACAACCCTCTCTCTCTCTCTCTCTCTCTCCCCCCCCCCCCCCTCTCTCTCTCTCTCTCTCTCATGAGTATCCTTAACACTCCAATTATAGAAGTTTGGTGTGAGAAGATTATACTTGGTGTAGGATCTTCGTATGAGGGGAAAGCTATAAATGATTGGTGTATGGGCTTTATATCTGGTAGAGAGAGAGTGAAGTAGGAGTGAGTAGTGAGTGGGAATTCTACTATTTTCTGTCTTTTTGGGGGGCTTGGTTATTCATTCTCTCTCTCTCTCTCTATCTCTTCCTTTACTATAATACAAAATATGTTTAACTCAAATTAACTACTACAGTATAATACAGGAAATACAATAACCTGTATTATTATCTACTTACTGTAACAAGAAATATAGACGTAGAAACAGAAATACAGTAATGTAAAGAGACATTGGGATACAGTAATACAATATGGTTGATACTCGGATAAATACAGCAATACATTAAGGTAGATAGTTACAGAAATACAACAATACAGTCAGTAGTTAACCATCAGTCAGGTAATCACTGCTGTAATGGTTTCAAATTTAAAGAAAAAAATTAACACAAATACATTGAAAATAAAATCTAATCCCCCAAAAGTTAACACCAGTAGTATTATCAGATGTTAACACAGTTTTAACATTCGGTTCTAAACATTAAAATTATACACCAGTCATGGAAGAAAAAGTTTAATTTAACATACGAATATAAACTGTGAATTGTTAAACCAGAATATAACATAAAGTGACTCACCTTTATATCACCACTTAATTAACACGGTTTTTAACACCAGTCTAACACCACATTAACACCAGTCAGTCATTAAAACACCGCAAACACTCGTCACTAAAACAACCTAACTGGGTGTTTCTCTCTCTTTCTCCTAATTCTCTTAATCTTATCTTCTCTTATCTATGACGTAACCAGTTAATCTTATCAGGGCTATTATCTCTTATCTACGGTTGTCGTCGAATATTTCAACTCACTAATATATGAATTTTGTAATAATTTTTTTGTTCATGGGATCAGTTTGTGAAGTTTTCGTATTTTAGTAAACATCTTTGAATAAGAAGATCGTGTTTACGTTGATCAGCTGTTTTTGATGTCTGGGTTTTAATTGGCTGCCTTTATCTTGTGTGGAGGAGGACGATGATTGAAACTAGATGTGTGTGTGTGTGTGTGTGTGTGTGTGTGTTTGTGGAATTTAGGTGATAAAAACAGACTTTAAAACGTAAATTAGATTAAGATTTGAGGTTTTATGAAAGTTGGTTGATGTGATTCGTGATTATATACATTGTGACGGTGTACAAAAATATTTCTTGCTAAAACACACACACACACACACACACACACACACACACACACACACACACACACACACACACACACACACACACACACACACACACGTGATATGGTATTATACTGAATCGCCCTTACTGCTTAATTCACGCCATTAGATAATATAAATCTTCACGTGTAAAGATAACTATCTATCCATCCATCCATCCATCCATCCATCTATCCATCTATCTCTGTCTATCTATCTATCTGTTTGTTTGTCTGTCTGTCTGTCTGTTTATTTATTCCTCCATCCATCCATTCATCCGTCTGTCTGTCTGTCTATTTGTCTATATCTATCTATCTATCTATCTATCTATCTATCTATCTATCTATCTGTCTATTTATCTATCTATCTATCTATCTGTCTATCTATTTATCTATCTATCTATCTCTATCTATCTATCTATCTCTATCTTTAGTCTCTGAGATAACGAGGAAAAGCCTCTTACCTTACCTTCCTGGGTCTTATAGGTCTTAGGTCTTGTCAAATCTTACCTCCTGAAGAGAGACCCGTAGACCATAAGTGACCAGGTATGGGACACCCCCTTACCGTTATTACCTGAGCTGGCAACAGATCGGTTGGAGAGAGAAGAGAGAGAAAGAAAGAGAAACTACAATGGATAGGGCAGGAGAGAGGAGAAGGAGGAACGAACACAATTCTATCCTCAAGAATATCATTTTTAGAACAAGGCTCATCACTCACTTCACAACAACTAAATGACTCCACACACAACAATCAACTCCCTCCCCCACCCCCACATTTCTCCTCCTCCAGGTGAGAAACAGTTCTGCAAAACGTTAATTAAATGTTGACGTCGGCTTTATAGAATCTGAAACGTTTCTTATTAAAAATCTGGATTTGTCTCTTATAAAAATCCGGATTTGTCTCTTATAAAAAAATCCGGATTCGTCTTTACCTATTAGCATTTTGATTGGTTCTCGGGGTTGTAAACACGTGAGTTTGAGAGGAACAAAACAATAACTAAAAATCACGTACCGGGAAGAATAAAATAACAAAATTACGAACCGGGAAGAATAAAATAACAAAATCACGTACCGGGAAGAATAAAATAACAAAATCACGAACAGGGAAGAATAAAATAACAAAATCACGAACAGGGAAGAATAAAATAACAAAATCACGAACAGGGAAGAATAAAATAACAAAATCACGAACAGGGAAGAATAAAATAACAAAATCACGAACAGGGAAGAATAAAATAACAAAATCACGAACCGGGAAGAATAAAATCACAAAATCACGTACCAGGGAGAGGATAAAACCAAACCTGCAGTGAACAATAAACACACACGCGTATACTGAACACACATGGAGGCACAGAACACACATGGAGGCACACGCACACACACACACAGACAGAAAATCCTTCAGTGTTCTAACTCTACGTTCCGAAATAGTTAGTGTGTGTGTGTGTGTGTGTGTGTGTGTGTGTGTGTGATGAG